GGCTTTCCTCCCGACGTACCTCAAAAAACACTTCTCGAAGACTTGGAATAGGTTTGGTGCCTAAAATTCGTCCGCGTACTTCATCAAGAGATTTGTCCAGCCCCATTAGAAATTTGAAGATGCGTTTGATCTCTACTATTTTCTTGAAGTATTTGCTGTCATCCGAGCACTTCCACTCGTGAGTTTCGAATAAATCCAGCTGCTGCCAATACCGCGTCAAAGTGGTGAAGTAGGTGGTTACTGGTTGATCTCCTTGTCGTAGGTCCTGGAGGATACTCTCCACATGGAAAAGTTCAGCAGTATTTTCACTGCTAGAGAAGGTGTCACGGACTGCATCCCAGATTTCATTGGCAGTCGTGTAGAGAAGGAAATTCTCACCTATTTCCGTCGTCATTGAACTGATTAGCCAAGACATGACCATATTATTTTTTGCTCTCCATGTCCTAAATTTAGGATCACTGGTGCCTGGTTGGACAGCGGCACCGGTGATATAGTCATCACGGCTTCGTCCACTAATGAACATCATCATGGTCTGAGACCATTGAAGATAGTTGTGTCCATTAAGTTTGTGGCTGGTGATGGGAGTAAGATTATGGTCATTTGTGGTCTGGGGATTGGAAGAAACATTCTGAGAGACAGAGGATGAGGAGTCTCCGGAGGTTTGGTCGGATTCGGCCATGTTGAGGGTTGGCTAGAGATGACGGCTAGGAAATTAGGGTTTTGAGAACCTAGGGCTCTGATACCATGAAGTTTGGAATAATCTGAATTTCCTCTTATTAATTGAATGGACCGGAAGGGTATTTATACAAAAGCAAAAGATAAGATCTTATCCTAAGAGACCTCCTAGATATTAGGAACTACTTTACACATTTATAGGGATTAGCTTACAACAGATCCTTAGCTATTATCTCACGATTCTAGGAGCCTATCACTTATCTAATACTCGGCTAGTTTGAATTTCAACAGTTTGTAATTTTAAGACTTAGTGGATTATTCACTGTTTAGGCGTGATCCCGCAAATATAGGTGTGGACACCAAACTGCGATACTAATTTCTGGTGTTCTTTATGTTTCTGCACTATTATTTTCTGCTTGATTACTTTGACATTTTTCCACATAATCATTATAGTTACTCGTCAGTGTTATAGAAAGTGTAATAACACTCTCTAGAACACCTCTATAAAAAACAGATCTTTCAATATATATATATATATATATATATATATATCGGCAATAAATAAGCACAAGAAACAAAGTCTTCGCATGCCAGATTTCCTGGAAAAAAAGGATATTCTCCTCTTCAATTTTAAGCTGAGATGAAACCAAATAAAAGCACTTCTATCTGTTAAAGTGGGAACACAAAAAGCATATAATATTAAAACCCGCACTTCATGACACATAATATTATGCACACAAACTAACATCATACGTTATATTATGGACCGAACTATTACAAAAAGGTGAACAACTTCAAGGCTACGCTTTATCCTCACCGCAGTACCATTACCATTTTATTTTCGGTTAGGGTTTGCTTATGAAATAGATCACTAAAGAAGAAATTTGATGACATATAGCTTTTGTATTCTCACATATATAGCCCGTTCGGAAGGTGGATTCAAATTAGGTGATTGAACTAAAATTCAAATTTTGTGAGCGGTGAATTTTTTAAATTCAAATTAATTTTTATGAGAGAAAACACTATTTGAACTCAAATCAAGGTGATTTGAACTCATCCTCCAAACACCCTAACGAACCCAAGTAGATTGATTTAAGCAAATTATGCTATGTAAGTTCATTGGCGCATATATTTTATTGAACAGTCTGCATGTGACTAAAACTAATAATCTTCCAACTGCTTGGAGAAATACTTAATTGGAGTTCCTTACCTTTCATTTTCAAAGCCAAGGATATTTAATTTTAAGAATAATAAGGCCGCAAATAGTTATGATATTATTATTAAAAGAAACGCTTTGAATATGTACACAAAGAAGTAGGCAACAGAAACACATTTAAAAGAAGAATTTTGCTAACATTTACGTCAAATACGTACAACAAAACTTCATCACATGATTATGAGTAATCACGCCATATATATTTGTCGGTAAAATATGATAATGAAAATAGAAGTACTTACATTTGAACTAAATTTGGAATTGAAAGATGATTTTGACAAATTTAGTTTCATTTTTTAGATATACTTTGTTGGTTCATTCAAAAGTTGTTTTAGATGAGGCAATTTGCAGAATATATGTAGATATATATATATATATATATAGACACACACACACATATATATATATATATATCAGGATGTTAAGTTTGTTATATATGCCTATAAATAGCGGTCCACTTGCGTAATATTTGTTATGCCTGCTCATTAATATTACTTCAAGCTTTTGTACTAAAAAAAAAAAAAAAGATCAGTAACCATGCTCTTCATTATCATCTTTCTCTTCTCTATTCCCTCATTAGTTTTTTCCCAACCTTTTAGTAATTTTCAAAGGTATGATTTACCATCAACAGCCGTAGGTCCGTTCTCCCTAGCCTTCGATGCCTCCGGAAGAGGACCCTTTACCGGTATTTCTGACGGCAGAATTTTGAGATATGATCCTGTACAAAACAGTTTCTTTGATTTTGCCTTCACCAGTCCCACTGGGTAACGGATTGTTTTATTATCTGTTATCACGGACTAACTCATTGAAATAAACCAATTCCCAAAACGTTTTGTACCAATAATTTCAGTTATTAGGCATCATTATATTTGATCTAGATAGCTCCCGCACTAATCCGTAACTATCATAGTACACACATAATATGCACATGATTTCTTTCGCATTATTACTCGCATTGTTCAGATTTTTTGTACGTTGTTTTCTCTAACAAAATTTAAATTTATGTTCAGACCTATCAACCAAACGTGTCCACTATTTTTTGTTATGATGTGGGAGGCTATGCCACTCCAACTTTATTAATAAGAAAAGAAACTATCATAACTCAACACATACACGATCTTCATTTCTTCCACGATAACTTTCGATATAATTGATGTGTTGATCTCGAGTATGAATTATTATATTCAGGTCGAAGGCAGTGTGTGATGGCACGGATAATAATGATAATCCAGATAGGGGAGCTATCTGCGGGAGACCATTGGGTATAAGCTTCTACTTTAGGACAAATCAACTATATGTGACGGATGCTTATAAAGGACTCGTAGTGGTTCCACCTAATGGAAGACTTGCAGAAAATGTTGCCACCAGCGCAGAAGGAGTACCCTTCAAATTTCCTTTCCATTTGGATGTTGATCAAGTAACTGGAGATGTATATTTCACTGACTTTAGTTCTCAGTTTCAACTAAGGTATTTATAATTTTCTTAAAATACTTAACACCTCAATTTTTCGATTTTGTTTTATGCCCAAACAGCTTTGAAACTGTCTTTTATACGTTTCAAAATTCTTCAAAAATGAAGTAATGTTTATAACTAAAACTTAAGTATCATCTGGAAAGAGCAATAATTACGGTCTCGTTCATTTCATCGATTTGAGTTTTCAATTCCAGTTTTGTTATAATAGTAAAAGCTCTCACAAGAAATCACTTATAATTTTTTCTACTACAGTTAAAAGCTCGCATAAAGTTACATTTAAATTCGAATTAAAAACTTAAATTAATAAATTGAATGACGCCTACATACAACTTTAATTTTGCAGCCAACTTCTACAAGCCATTGATGCTCGCGATGCAACAGGAAGGTTGCTAAAATACAATCCCAACACTAGAGAGACAACAGTGCTACTAAGAGGACTTACAGGAGCAGCCGGGGTTGCGCTCAGTTATGACCGAACATACCTCCTCGTCGCTGAGATGAACGCAAACAGAGTTAAAAAACTATGGCTCAGCGGGCCGAACGCTTTTACGACGGTCGATCTGATCACTTTCCAGGGAAGACCTAATAATATCGAGAAGAACTCGCTGACAGATTTCTGGGTGGTGGTGAACACACGAATACCGGGAACGACGGCTGGTTCATTCATTAGAATACCATCCGCGGTTAGAATTTCAGGAATAGGTGGTGGTATTTTGCAGACTGTGGATCTTAGTAGATATTTTCCAAATATGACAATTAGTGAATTCCAACCGTATGGCCTTGGAGGTTACATCGGTTCCCTAAGGACTGATTATCTTGGTCGTGGTAACTACTAAGACTATCTTCAACCAAAAACTTTCAAAAAAAAAAAAAAAAAAAAAAATTAAAAAAAAAAAAAAAAAAAAAAAACTTAAAAAAGAATAAAAAAAAAGTAATATGGTAATTATCAGATGGTTCTCGTATGATGGGGGCCAAAGTACGTAGTTAGCCACGCTTACTAATAAATAGCTAAAATTAGTTTTTTTTTTTTTTTTTTCCTCGTGAAATAATAGTTGGCTAGAGTACTTGTATTGCAATAGAATAAAGTCATGTCGAGGCTTTTTTATTAAGTATATTGTAGACCAGCCAGTAGCTACAGCTGGGTTTCAACGGTGTCTTTTGTTTTGTTTTGTTTTGTTTTTTTGTATGGAGCGTTCAGCGTGTTTGAATATTTGCAAGAAATAAACGTTTTGTTATATATATATATATATATATATATATATATATAGGCAAAGTCTGGTCAGCGCTTGGAAAGTGCCTGACGAGACCGGATTTGTATAAATATACATGAAGTGTGTATATTTATAATAATTAAATGAACATATAACATAAAAATATGTATATTAATGTTAATGAATGTAAGCGACAATGTATATTTTTAATGGAAATATGTATTTTTTATAGCAATTAAGTGAACACATAACGTATTAATATGTATATTGGCTGACTTATTGTATTTCATGTTAATGAACGTAAGCGACAATGTATATTAATTATGGAAACATGTATTTTTTATAGCAATTAAGTGAACACATAACGTATTAATATGTATATTACCTGATTTGTTGTATTTCATGTTATTAAACGTCGTTTGGAAGTTTTTTTTATTTTTTTTATTTTTTTTTTTTAACGTTATGCTGTAGGAAACGGCAATATACATGTATTTCTTATTTAAATTAAGTGAACATATAACATAGTAATATGTATATTGATTGAGTTGTGGTAGTTCATGTTATTGAATTTGTTTTGGAAGTTATTTTTGCTTGAAAAAGTCTTTAGTCATTTGGAGGTTGAATATTGTTGTCGTTCTAACAGGTTGGAAAGAATTAGTAGGGAGACACAAATAGGAGATTGAATATGGAAAGAATAATGAGGATGAAGTTAGAATTATTACATGGGAGAATACAGTGTATTACTCTGTGAAGGCGTAAAAATGTAAAATGCCATGAGTTAGAAAATATGTAAACGTGCACATGGAGTAGCAGAACCCAAATAGAAACCAAGATGTATATTTGCAGAAGCCAAACAGAAACCATAATCGTCGTTTTAACTTAGATGATCGTGAATGCAACAATGAATATCGATGTCACTTATTTTGTACTTGTATTTGGATTTTGGAGTCACGAAGGTTTTTTTTTTTTTTTTTTTTTTTTTTTTTTTTATAGTATTTTTTTTTTTTTTTTTTTTGCATTAATAGTAATGGATGTACTTAGTTTTTAAATCGTTGAAGATTTAGATTTCAAATATTTAAAGCAGCGATTTTTTTAATTGTTGTAATTTAAATTTCCTAACTTCTTTCAAATCATCAGCTTTGTTAATGATGCAAAGAGTTTCTGTAGCCGAAGGTTGTAATACTTAGACCATGAGCATTGGCTCATGAGTTTGTCAATGCGAAACTGCAAGATTTACAAATATTAACTATGTGTCTATCACGGGAGATGATTGAAAATAGAGGAATTATAAACAGATTTAATTATTTATAATATACCAAGTTTAATCTAATATTGCAATTACTACTTTCAAGTTGTACAAGATCAGAATGCCTTCTCTATGATAAAAGGACAACAACTGCAAGGGATTTATCAATATCTAAATACGTATCAGTCTAAATGTCACAATGAAAGTTTGTGGGAGCTAGTAAAAAATAAATAAATCAAAAAATCAAAACCTCGCATTGAAAGATTAAGAAATAAATCCCTAAAAACATAGACGTGATCAATGATAAAGACTATATGCATGATGATTGTTTCCTGTATTTGTTTAACAAAAAGAGCCAAAGCAATAAGTGAATTGTACAATCTATGACCATAACATCTATATGACGATTTCAAGTAAAAACCATGCTATTTCATGCATTCAGCAAGTGTATGAGGAACTGGCCCACCAAATTACTGTAGACCGGCATCGGAGAAACCAATTAGAGAAAGAGGGGAAAGTGGAAGAGAGCGGGGACATCGAAACTCAATTGAAAAAAAAAATGACGCTCCCTTTCCTGCCAAAACGACCACATGTTGGTCAAAAATTTTCAACCAAAACGATGTCATTTTGGTTGAAAGCGAGCGTGCACAGTGATTCATTTTGTGCTTTCTATTATATAGATAAAAGTATTTTCCAAAGCCTAATATAAAAAATGAAAATGAGAAATTCTCTTTTCAGTCATTCATTTCAGCATAGAATAAGAATCAGGGTTAAAAAAGTGAAAGTAGAACAAGAAATTCTCATGTTGCCTGAGAAGAAGCTATGTGTCGTTTCAGTAATTGCAAACAAAAACTGGTACTAGGGTGAGAAACATCAGCTGATTAAGTATGTCTTGAAAATTATACAATACCAAAAAAACTAGTCAAAATTTAGAATATTAGTATATCATCAAATCTACAACTAACATCATAGATTCAAAATTTAAAAATGAATGAAAACAAAACTAATGGCGAGGGAATAAAAAAAGAAAGTAGGATAAAAAAACTGAAGGAAACTAGAGGTTTACTATGCCTCAGATCCAATAGCAATGTGAAACATAAAGAAGCCATTGCAAAACATGGCCATAACTCTCACTTGCACTTAACGCTAGCTTCAGCAGCTCGGCGGGCTTTTTTTCAGCCAGAGCCAACAAGTTGCTTGAGATCCCATCGTCTTTTCTTATATCTGCAAATCTAAGAAAGCACAAGACTCTTAAAGTACCACAACCTTAAATTCTGACCCACTAAAATAAATAAATAAATATATATCTATATATATTTCTTAAGCTCAAAATCTTGGGACTTAAAGGAAAGTTATGGGTCAATTGATCCAAAAGCTCCACATAAATTAGATCCAAAGTAAAACCTAATTAATAACAAGAACGTTGAATGTCAATCACAACAGAGCCTTTACAAAGGCGATTTCTTTCTCATTTCCAATCAACACAGATTCTTGATCAAGATTCATTCAAGAAAAGAACATAAAACAATGTATGCGTTTGGAACTCATTTCAAAATGATTTTATTTTCTGTATGAAAATGAAAATGAAAATGAAAACGTTTTCATTTCTATTTTAGAATCATTTCTGAAAATGCGTTTGGTAGTTTTATTCTGAGATTGTTTTCTGTTTAAAAAAAACCTGAAACTGCGTTTGATGGTTTAATTTTTAAAAACATGTAATAGTATTCTTTTTAACCTTTTTCTTTCATCATTTTGTTTCAAAACAATTGAATGCTAAAAAGTAACAAATGAACACTCACTTAAACAATTTAGCAAACACTTAAACAACAAAATTATTGAACCCAAAACACATACATAACGTTGACATCTACTTCAAATGGAAATCAATCAGAACTATCCTACTCTCTTTCATTATATTAAAGTGTAATGGTTGAGAACAGGAATGAGATAAGTTTATAATTATGATTAATTTTTAAGGAAATTAATCTCCAATATCTTCTCAAATCTCACCTGATATGAGAGAGAGAATAATGTTCTCACATCTCTTGAGAAATTCCCAACAGAGATGGTCTTTTAAGCCAAGCCTCCTAATGATAGAATCAAGAAACGAAATTGGAGTAACTGGGTTCATCTTCCATTCGAGTGTTGAGAGCACCAGGAGCTCCATTCTCTTAATCGTTTTCGCTTCAAACACGAACTTACTCTCTTCCACCTAACCACACAAAAAAAGATTCATTTTTTTCTTTTTCAATTAATTTTCAAGGATTTTTAGGCAGACCCAGAAAAAGGTTCATACGAATTATAATGAAGAACTTACTTGGAAGTCTAATAGAAGAGACACTTGGGTCTCTTCAACTTTGGTAGAGAGAGAGAGACAAGCCATCACAAGCGAGGTGGGTCATCCATGGCTTCTCTCTCTGAAACTTGAAGCTGAGGAGAAACCATGGTGAGCACCGAAGATCCCTCCCAGCTGCCGGTAAGCCTTCCTCAGTCAAGCCACTGATCCTCGCCATGTGAAGCCCATCCCCACCCGAGGCGGCGATCCCCGGGCGGATCTGGAGGAAGCCGCCGGCTGTGAGGTGGCTGCTGAGGAGGTCGATGAAGCTCGAGGAAGGTCGAGAGAGGTCGAGGGAGAAATGGGTTTGGGAGTGCTCGTGCTTTTGAGAAAGGGAGAGGTCGTTAGAGAAATAAACTTTTTATCTATATCGTCTAAATTTCAATCCGACAGCTGCAATTACTGAGCGGACTGTTCAGGCATATTTCATATGCCGGATGAGAGACCATTCCTATATATATATATTTGATATTTTTTCATCTTTGGCTATTTAAGATTGATATTTTTCATGTTCCAAATCAAAACGGATACAGTTGCAAGATTTGTTTCGTTTGGTAAAAAAATTTGAGTAGTAAATATAGAATAACTTCCCAGTTACGAGTATTATAAGAGATGGGCGTGGTACATTTATCATTAAAAATATAATCTCAAGTATTATACCACTCACGTCGACAATACCAAAGTTCAGATCGCTCAAATTAGTCCTATCTTAAGTAATTGAATCGATGATTTGAGTCCGTTTGGTGATTTGAGTCTTTTGATTCAGAATCATGATTCATGATTTGAATTATAATTCAGAGTGATTAGAACCTTCGTTTAGATGTGTATATGCATGATTCTGATTCTAACATGAAATGTGATTTGAACCAGTGTTTGGTTGTCATGTTTTTTAAATTTTAATCATGACCAAAATAAATGTTAATTTAAAAAATTATATAAATGTAATAAAAAATTATAAAATAAATGTAATTTGTCTGTTTCACCGCACGACTGACCAAGAATTTTCCGGCATTGACCAATTCTATGAGAGACCCAGCTCTGATA